TTTTTTTTAACAAATATTATACTTTCATAATTGAAAAAATCATAGATATAAATAAAAGTATGTCATTTTACAATTCAAGTTATAAGCATTTATGTTAAAAGAATATCACGGATCTATCTAACTGTTAGCCCATCTCACACAGGGGCGAAACTACATGTAATGAAAGGGGGGCAATTGCGTCCTCAAATTTTAATTTTTTGCTATTAATATTACAAATTTTAATTTGCCCTCCTTTAAATTTATTTTTGCACCCCCTTATTTTTTTTAAACGTCACTCACCAGGTCAACTTGTCTACAATTGCCAATTAACAATTCAACAGTTCTTCTATATTTTTACTATTAATTTTGCATAATAATTATTATCTTTCTACAATTTTAATTAGCCCATAAAAAATATTTAAACTCTCTTTTATTGCCCTGGCTAGGGCTGTATTTTTTGACCAAAAATCGAAAATCGAACCAAACCGAACAGATGAAAAATAAACCGAACCGAACCGACTTATGTGTAACGGTAACCGATTTTGGTTACCGTAATGTTATCAGTTCGAGTATCGGTTCTGAACCCATTATACCATGTTTTTTGCCCCTCTCAACTAATTTTCTGGTTTCGCCCCTGGTCTCACATATATACAACGATAGATATATGGTCCCACCCCCCATGGGAATCATGATATCTTAGCATGACTGAATTTGGGCAAGCATGTCTAGTTAATATCCATGGAGCCTACAGAAAACGGCTTGTGAATTGCTGCACATGCTTGTAATTGTCCCATAATGTAAACTACAAACTCCCAACAAAAAATGGCACCACCAATTAGGTGATGAATCTTGTCCCAACTAGTATAGGCTCCTTATTTCTACCCTCAAATTAATTATCACATAAGACATGTCATGGCCCTGTCTATTGAGGCTATCTTGCAACTAGTGATAATTATAGTGCCAATAATTAGTCTTCTTTTTTTTTTAAAAAAAAAAAAAATACAATATCTTCCTTGCCTCCTACTTTACCCGTGGTTATGTTCACAAATTGCACGAACAACATTATCTTACATCAACCTCTTACTAACTAAGCCTTCTAATACTCATCAAAATCGATACAATGATTTATCATTATTATCGTCATCATTAAACTCTTCTACGTTCTCAACATGTGTATCATAAGCATCCTCAAATTCGAGTTTCTCTTAGCTATAGTACATATCGTGAAGGTCGTCGAACTCAGATTCGGCTTTGCCATTACTCGTGTATTTGTCATCATGATCCAATTCTTCTTCTGTCCGGCCCTTCTTTAATGGGGTCTCCGTCTCAGTTTCACCCAAAAGCTTTTCGAGTACATCATATTTGACTTTAGAACTCAGCCTCTTTCTATCAAGCACTCGGCTAGTTGCCTCGAGAGCGGTTTGAGGTGGGCCTGCATTTTTCAACTCGGCAGCACGCTTCTGTCGTTTTTCCTTCTTTGACTTTGCGACAGCTTCTGCAGCTGCAGCAGCAAGCCTTTGTGCAGCTTCTACATCTCCTGAGCAGTTGGACAAATTTGTCTCAAACGCTTTTTTAGCGGCCAAGGCTGCAGCTTCTTTAGCTGCCTGCTCCTCAAGGTATTCTTTGTTCATTTCCTCCCAGATAGTTTTCTTGTACTCCTTCTCCTTCTCATTGAGAAGGTATGAGGCCAGCTCAATATCATCAGTGTCAGATAAACTCTCTGATTCATGAAAGGTAGCATCGGTTTTTTGGAGTCTTTCTTTACTAGAATCAGAATCATCCACGGTTTCGTCTTGGTTAGAAGCTCCTGTTAAGTTTGATTGTACTCCATTCTCACACGTATCATCGATTCTCCTTTGTTGATCAGAATTTTTGCTCCTGTTTTCTGCCAACACAGAAAATTCCGAAGTCTTAGTTTTTTGGATGGCAGCTTCCTTTGCCATTAGTCTTTCAATCTCTGCACGTTGGAAAGCCGGAGGCTCTGACCCGCCATTAAGACCTCCAGAAAGTTTTATAAACTCTTCATAGCATTTTTCACAGAGACCATGAGCAAAAGGAGGCTTCCCACTACCCTTGTGCGCACAGAGGAGTTCCTTGATCACAGATGCTTTTGACCCAGCATTGAGGGTATTACTAAGCCTCTCTTCTTTCTCAAGCTCATCTGCTTTCATGTTGAACTCTTCAATCGTCAGGGCTCCTGACTCAGTATTCTCAAATTCAATCAACCGCTTCACGAGAGTTGCTTCACATACGTGCACAACTTTAATAATTTCAGACTTTGTACACTTGAGACCATGCGAGAGAGCAGATATATACAGAGCAGCTCCACATAGTCCACTTGGTTTCCTCCCAGTCTGCATCCAATCACGCTTCATGCTAGCAACAATCTGAAGTGCAGTTTTGGAGACACTTGGTTTTCTGCCACCAAACAGACGATCAGTAAATCTGTGGATGAAAAGGCTAGGATCCACAGGTTTTTGAATAATGGGATGCTCTTCAAGGCTCAAGAGTTTGCAAAGCTGCAAAAATACTGCCCCTAGCACATAAACATTTATCCTTAGATGTTCTGAGAAATCAATAAGAAGATACGGCTTTTTGTTCTCCCTACAAGCAATGTAAAGGCAAGAGGCCTGCACTTGCTCTTTCCTGCGACCCCTAGTGAAGTTGCGTTCAAGTGCTATCGTATAAAAGGCTAAAGCTGGCCGAGCTATCGAATCACCACCATCAATTCCAAGTGCATACATCATACCATCTATTCCATCATACGCTTCATTCAGGGTCCTCTCACGAGAAACAGAATATTCATTTTGAATGGTCCTCACATAATTTCCAGACAATTGGCTCTGTCCAGCTGCACCTTTTACAAATGTCGGCTCTACCGAAAAATTATCCTCATCCAGAACTCTTCCACAAAGAGAACAGCATATTTTGCCCTCGGCTCTATCAGGTCGAATGATATCTTTGGCGCAGTTACTACACCACACCATACCCGCACAACCTCTCGTCGGGAAATTACAAGTAACAAAGCGGACCTCGGCCACTCGTACGGATCACGGATAGCTTGTCGGTGCTCGGGCTGAACAGGGTCGCTCGAACGACGGCGGCTGAACAGCGGTTGCCCACGGCTGGTCGCGTTTGGTTCCGGACGACGGTCCTCGGGAACTTCTCGGCTGTGCACTGGCTCTCGCCGGAAAATGGGCACGTCCTCGCCGCTGGTAGCGCTCGGAGATTGCTGTAGGGTCACACACACAGTACGCCGGCGAAGTTCTCGTCGGTTTTGAAGGTTGCGGTCACCTTCAATCGCTGCTCTCGACGGGGTGTCGAGCGTCTCTCGGCTGCGGACTCGCGGCGGGGTTGACTTTCGTCGGCGAAGAGGGCTCGCGAGGGCGCACGTCTGCGGCGACTAGAAGGGCGAGGTCGCCGGTGGGACTCGGCAGCGGCTGATGCCGGCGATTAGAGACCGCTCGATTTGCGAACAGAGGAAGAGGGGAGGGCGATTTCTCGGCGGCTGCTAGAATTTAAAGGGGCCGAGCTTAAATAGAGGAGGAGACTAGGGGGATTCGCCGGATTTCATGGAGGAGGTTGAGAAAGGGGTTCGCGGCTACTCAAAATCGACGGGAGACGTTTTGCATCTTCCTTGCCTCCTACTCCTAAATATACTTTCTATTGGAGAACAACCTAATTATAGTTTCCTATTGGAGAGAGAGAGAAAAAAAAAAAATAAAAAAAAAAAAATAAATAAAAATAAAAAACTCTGATTTTTTATGACCTAATTATAATTAATTTTCTATTGGAGAAAAAAAAATAACTCTTAGTTTTGATACAAAGTGTGTAGGCATGACTCATGAGCTACCTTAGAGCTTATGTAGTTATTGGTAGTATGTATTTTCTTATAAACGGGAGCATATCTCATCGTCTTCTCTAGTTAAGTGTGTCTTCTCTAGCTAAGTGTGCCAGGACACATTTTGCACGCGCCCCTCACCCCCAAAATTAGAAAATTAAGAGAGTGTAGTGCACATAAAATGGGACATATTACATAAATTAAAATACCATTAATTATTTATATTAAAAAAATAAAATAAAAATACCAAAATTCATAATTTTTTATTATCTATAAATAGAGACCACATTTGATAGATTTTTGAACACAATTAATTTTTCATTTTTTAGTAATTATTTTATTATACTGACATATAATGAACATGTTACATAATAAGATGAATATGTTTTCAAATAAGATGAACATGTTACAGATTGCAGATTGAAAATAATACATATTCATCTTATTTTATAACATGTTCATCTTATTCTATAACATGTCCATTTTATTATGTAACATGTTCATTTTGTTCTAAAACATGTTCATTTTATTATATATGTAACATGTTCATCTTATTCTATAACATGTTCATTTTATTAACATGTTCATCTTATTTTAGAATATGTTCAACTACATTTCATCTGTGAAAATGTAACATTTTCATCTTACTCTATAACATGTTCATCTAACATTTTCATCTTACTCTATAACATGTTCATCTAACTATGTAACATATTCATCTAATTATAAATTTGCGTCATAATCTTCCAATAAGATAAATTAATTGTAAAAAATGATAAATTAATTGTGTTTCAAAAAATATCAAATGTGATCTCTATTTGTAGATAATGAAAAATTATGAATTTTGGTATTTTTATTTTTATTTTTTATACAAAATATGAATGATAATTTAATTTATATAATATGATATATGAAATTCATTACCCAATAAAAATGG